AGAAAGGGTAAGACAGGAGAGACCAACGTACCAGACATTAACCACCTTCTCAATAACCATTTCTCTGTTTCTTTCATGCTAAAACACTCACATTGTTCACATTTCTCCACCTGGACAGATTCTGAAGCCCCAGCTCCAAGAGAAAAGTCTTGACTTGTCTAAGCCAATAGTAGCAATCTCATGACTGGCCAATGATTTTTGGACATGTAATACAGATCTGGCCAATAAGACATATACCAGGATACGGGGGTGAGTGATCTGTTTGGGAAAGCTTTCACTTTTTTCTAAAAACAGGCACAAGACTATGACAACCCTTTTTGTGCTGTTAGATGTTATCCTTTCTATGTGATGACCAGCTTTGCTGCAGCTATCTTGGGGTCATGAAATTAATCAGGCTAAGAAGACACATCAATATGACAAGGATGGCAGGACAGATTAATGGAAGACACCTGAGTCCTGGAAGGTGTTATGAAGCCAGGACATTAACTGATCTTTAACAATGCCTCCGCCTTTCTTTGTGTGTGAAATAAAAGCATGTTAATTGGCTTAAACTAGTTAGGGAGTTACTGGGATAGTCCAGTAAGAAATGATGTGGCCATGTTAAGGAAGATGGTGCAAGAGAAGAAGATAGATTTGATAATTATCTAAGAGAAGTACCAGGATTTGGTAAAGTTGGGATGGGGACAGTGAGGGAGAGACAAGTATGTAGAATAACGAATGTCTAGCGACTGGCTACTTAGCAGTGTCAACATAGACAGCATAATAAAACCTGGGAAAAGATGGTACTGAGCACAATGTGAGGTGCCAGTGAAATATTCAAGTGGAACTGTGTAACAGACAGATTGGATATTCCATTACTCTGAAAAACATCTTATGGAAGCCAAAACTTCAGGCTGCTTCCATCAGCCTAAAGTGTCAACATGGGTCTCAAGCTGCAGGGATTACACATGGGAATGTGTACCAGTATCTGCTGGATATTGGTTCTGGGATCCATCTCAGATACAAAAATATTCAGACACTCAAGTCCCTTGGACACAGTGGTGCAGTACTGGTGTAGGAGATTTGGGCAACAGCAGGCTGGCTAAAAGACGGGATGTAACCTGACAGTTCTGAAGATCTGAAGAAGAGGCTGAGAATGGGATGTGCCTAGGTAACCTGACCTGGAACAGATGTGACCTGTCAATCAGGGCCAGAATATGTGGACAGAGAAGCTTCCCATGGACCACATCTAGGAGGATATAAAGCCAGCGGCCATGCAAGCTTGCTGCTCTGCTACACTGTTTCCATAGCAACCCATCCTACTCACAGGATGCATCCCTTCTTGCTCTTCCCTTTTCCTTCACTCTTTTCTCCCTTCCTTCTCTTTACTTCACCTTTTCCCTTTTCTTTTTCATGTTAAATCAAAGTTGTGTTTAATTGTTCACCAGCTGTCCTGGCCAACTCTTTGGGCAGGACAAAAGAGCCAGGTATCTCTGCACATGATGCTGTCCAAAAGCAGTATTCGCATTTTCCTGTATGTATACTTCAAATTATCTCTAGATTACTTGTAATACCTAAAATAATGTAAATACCTATTATACATTATTGTTTAGGGAATAATGATAAGAAAAAGAGTCTTCACTTGTCCAGTATAACCTTTTAATTTTATATTTTCAGTCTTATTTGAATCTATGGATATGAAGAGGCAACTGTATTTGGAAACAATGGGGAAAAAGGCCACCATAGAAAATGTTTCTGCCCCTTCTAGGGGTTGTTTCAATGCTCCCTCTCAGTGACAAGTGGGTATAATAATGAAGCAAATTCCACAGGTTCTACAAACAGCTAATATTCTCTCCCTGGGGTGAGATGAAGCCAACCAAGTTCCCTTGCACTCTCTGAGCCATGCTGACACCCATCTCTTGACAATGATAAGCTGAAGCTGGCAACAAAGTAGGCTGCCAGAGAGTTCTTCTCAAGGAGCTGTGAGAACTGGACTGCCCATTCATACTGATTTGCAAAGTGCATCTTTCTTTGAAAAGCCACTGGGGCATTACACAAAGCAGATGTGAAACTACCTGGCTGGTTTCCAGTCATCCCAGCTCTCTTCATAAAGCCTTCCCTAAGCCCTGCGTGACATCAGGCCAGCTCCTCTGGCTTTTAGCCAGTCACTAAAGGCAAAGGCAAAGGCAAAAGCTACAGGAGAGGAGGTCCTTCCTAATCCACCTTGTCCTCAAAACATCACCTCAGAGAAACATGGTAATCATCCCATCTGATTAGGCACTGGAACAAGATTCTCCATTAACCCTTTATGTACTCCTTCACTTGTAGTTCAAGCAAGAGATTGTACTTTATGTAAAGTAAAGATGTAGATATTAAAGTCAATAGACCAGAGATCTTATCCTGGCATAGCCACCTGCTGACTGTGGGACTTCAGCCAAGGAATACTACTTCTTGGGACCTCAGTTTTCCCACTCACCCAATGGCAACAAGATCAATATCATATTGATCACAAGGTGGACATCAAGAAGACTTTACAGGGGCTGGTGAGATGGCTCAGTGGTCTAAAGCACCTACTTAGAACAAGCTAAGCTAAACAAAGCACAGGGACCGCGGTTCGATCCCCCAGCACCACATGCCAGCCAGCCCCGCCCCCTGGTGGGCTGAGCTGGCCACACACACACAAAATAAATAAATAAATATTAAAAAAAAAAAAAAAAGACTTTACATGTACAGAAAGTTTTGAGTCCTTTCATCATCCAGGCTGTGATTGAGTTGGGGGTAACTATCAGAGCAAGCACCTCCTTGCCCCAGCTGGAACAAAAACAGTCAAAAAAGGGGACATCTTGGCCATAAAAAAAGGGGAAATCCTTGCCATTCACGCCCTCCCCCAGCTGATGCTGCCAGTCACTCCAGGGTGTGT